GAGCCCGGGCATTAATTAAGCCTCCTATCAGGCAATGTCGGAATCTAACGTTCATGGGGTTATAGTTCAAAATTTACGAGATATATTTAAAGGGATATGAAGCATTATTATGTCACGAATCGACAAAAGGAAATTGTACCGCAAAGTCATATAATGGAAAGGAAGGTGAGCGTTATTCAAATATTTCCATTATTACTATTTTATTCAGCGACATGTATTGTTCGTATTAAAGAGAATTATCTTAATGGTTTGAATTTAAAATTAAAATACCCAGGGGTATAAGTTTTTCCATAATTTTATTTAGTTTATGATACGGATTGCGTACGTTGCGATTCAACTGGCGGTAAAATTTTGAAAAAATTATAGCAATTTTTATTAAATTTTATATTAAGTATGCTATGGTTGTGACTATTATAAAGGTTTTGTTTTTGTAGAGAATGCGCCTTTATTAATCCTAATATGACTCTATTTCAGAGGATGAAAGTAAATGTAAAGAATGCAATAGGTAATTAGTCGCGATTAAAAATATTGAAAATTTTCTGGCATAAAAATTCATAAAAATCAGTTTTGTATTTGTAGTGACTTCTGCAACTCTAAGGAAATCTTCCCATACAAATATTGCTATGACAATACAAAAAACCGAAATGCTGATCTGTGTAAAGTTGAAAAGAATGGGTATTGTTACATTACGAGAGACGAATCGCAAGGTAGCTGTTACATCCAGAGGAGTCCGAGATTTGTCTGATGTTGACGTGCGATAGAATAGCAATTTATCCGGTGTAGATCAGTGACTAGCTGAGATCAGTGACTAGCCCCGATAGTATGATCCCACTATATTGACGCTTTCACTGGCTTTTATACTATAGCGATACAACTACACAACAGTAGCCATACAAATCGAGTGTTTGAGCTTGATTTGATATGTTAGATTCAAAAGATAGTCTAAGACAAATAGTTGACACGCATTAATTATCCAATAAATTCAGTAACCGTTGGATGTGGAGAATGTTCAAAGGGAAAAGATTGCTTCCAGTGTAATGAAACATATTGCAATAATGAAGACTATGTCTCAAAACTGTTTCATTTCTGTTTGACTTTGGATGAGAAGCCTGTCTTATGCCCTAAATTATATAATCATTGTTATTATGCACAGGGCGTAAGCAACTAATAAATTATTGAGATAGTCATATATTAAGAATGTTAATGAATCTGGTTGCGGAAAATGCCAAGATTCAATGACGGATTGCTTCGACTGTAAAGAATCAAAATGCAATTCAAAACTAGAATTTGATCGTGCATTCAAATGTTATTATAGTAGCAATGCTTCTTTGACAACCAACAAAACAAGAGGGTGTACAACATCGGATGGAATGTCAAGGATTAGTAGTAAATGGGGTTACCAACTATTTGACTCAAAATGCTTTTTAGCTGTAAATTTAAAAAGTAAATTATTTCATGTTTAATGGTAATGTGTACAACAAGGATACTCACTTCATCATTTAAAATATAGAAAATATCATGAAATTCTTATCATATGGATATGTACATAGCATTCCAAATCGCATTCTAGTCAAAATTTTTCCAACTTTTGGGGATGATGGGACTAAGTTTGTAAATTTTATAAGTATGTAAATTTGGTCTGGAAGTTTGTTACATTTACGGCTCCATATAATATGCCAGTAGAGTATTATGGGATGCCAGCTATCAAAGCTCAATACATATTATGCGAATAAACTATAAAGCTATATGCTAACAAAGGATAACAACAAAGGAGGGTTAATAATAATAATAATAAATAGGCAATATATAATAATTAAGAATAATAATATTATTAATAATAATAATATTTATTATTAAATAATTAATAATTATCTGTAATTTCTTCATTTTATATTCAAAGATGTAACTGAAGCAGAAGCCTTACAAAAATATACAACCCAAGGGTGTGGAGGTTGTCCTAAAGGAGTTGAACTTTGCAGAACATGTACAGAAAGTCTGTGTAATTCGAAAGAATTTTATGACGAAATGCATTCTTGCTGGCGGCCGAAAGGCGAAGTAAAACATTGTTACAGGGACGAAAGTGAAGGAATTTGTTATTATGCAATAAATTCTAGAAGGGCCGGTATAATCATTAGAACCATTTAAATTTAAAAATTATTCCTTAAATTAGTTAAACAAGGATGTGGAAGTAGATATGATTTAGAAATGAGAGGCTATCAAGTTTTTAGGTGTAATATTTCTCTTTGCAATACAAAAGAATTTTTTGAAAAATCGTTTTATTGTTTGAAAAAGGATGAAGACGAAGAAAATTATATAAGGGACAAAGATATTTGTCAAAGTAAATGTTTTGTACATCGTCTACCAGATGGAAAACGTATGGATTTTAAAGTCACGTTATTTTATTCATGTGGATCTATTTTGGATCACAACTCCAGGAAAATACTTAGAGTTCTAATACTTCTCTTAAACTTAAGTGCTGATCGTTATTGATAGTAAATTGGTATGATAAGATTATTCTAACATTATAGAGTGCCAGAAATCTTGGTTAACGATATCACTTCAATAATACTTTATATGTGATTATCATTCATTTTAATCTATTATCGATAATAATCCGCATTTATACGTCATTTCATTAGCCGTATAAATGTTGATTGAACGTATAAAGGTGCGATTGGACGCCTAAACTAAATAAGAGCTCAAAAATAATAAAGGAGCTTGCTATTTTATTCATATTTGTGTATAATTATTAGTGAATTAAAGCAGTTTGTTATTTAAGCTATCATGCTGGTATTCGGACACACCTCAAGTTGATACACAAAACTAGCGAAAATTAAATTATTTAAATAGTTTAATAATTACTAAAGCTTGGTCCAAAATAGAGCATTTGAAAAAAATGTGACACATCCTGTATCGTTTACATGTCTTGAATAAATTTTCGTTTCTATTTCTAGTTAAACAAGGATGTGGTAAATGTCCTGTCACAGATAAACAAAGCTGCCAAGAATGCAGCAAATCTTATTGTAACAAAGAAAGTTTAGTGTATCATTACTGCTATAAAACTGATAAAAAAGATGTTGGCAAACTACAATGCTTAACACCTTCCAATAGCACATGCTATACTGCTAGAATTAAGAAGAATAAAAGTAATTTTTTCTAGTATATATTATTCTCGAGAGGTATACGAAAAAAACAAAGTCGGAAGAAAAATTGTAAAGGTTACATATATTTTATTTCGAAATTTAAGTTGTACGAGGCTGTGGCGACTGTCCAAGCACATCATGTAAAAAATGTTTTGGTCAATATTGTAATGATGGAAAAAATTTTCCATATTTTTGCTTATATCCTCGTCTAAAACTTTTGAAAGAATGTGAGAAACCAGAATGTTACATTGCTAAAGTTGAGTTTAAATTTTTAATTTATTAATTTGGCATGATTTTACAACACAATTTTTGAATGGATAGGATAGATAAATTTTGGTTCCAGAGAATCATCGATACTTGAACACCTGTCATTTATTGCTAGGCGCGTAGCACACACACTAGGCTATCTGTGGCTGTTTCAAGTCCTCATTTAATATGTTAACCGCTGCGTATTAAGCCAGCCAGGGAGATTTCCCTTTTAAATTGCAATATCTAATGCATGTTCATCAATTTTACCCTAAATATGCAAAAAATCATGGCAATTTTTTCCAAAATTGCTATTGTTTGGATAATATTGCCAGGTATTTTGCTATTTTCAATACATATTTATCAAATTCTAATTAGAGTTCAGCGGTATCGGGATTTCGAGAAAAACCCGGGATCGGGATTTAGGAATGGTGATCCCGATCCCGATCCCGGATCCCGATACGGGATCGGGATTAGCCGAAATCGGGATCGGGATTTGGACTGGAGATCCCGATCCCGGTCCCGATCCCGAATCGGGACCGGTATTGAAAAATCGGGATCGGGATTTACTAAAAAAATTTCTTTTAATTTTTAAATTTTTATTTTCTTCACATACGACTCATTATAATTCTAAAATTGCAATTGCACTAGACGCATAATTTACTTTTCGTCTCAAGGGATTAAGGGGGTTTAAGGTAATGGGGGATTTCTTTTTAGCATTACAGTATTGAGGAATAAATGGGATTGGGCTTCTTTCATTTTAAGCGCCGCAGGCAAAAATTTTGAGAAATTTGGAAGGCCAAGGGGCCAGATTTCCTCACTTTTAAGAGCCGAAGGCAATATTTTTTTATTTTGGAAAGCCAGGGCATTCATGTCTAAACGTTCAAGTCTATAAGGTTAAGTGCATTACGTTCAAATGTGGACGATTAAGAACTATGATTGAGGGATTAAATGATATATTCATGTAGTATATTTCTTAAGCCCTCGATTTCTCTTCAAATCTAACTTAATCCCTGTAAATTCACCGATAACCTTCTATACTACAAATCCACCGATATTCCCCTCAACCCCTCTTGATCCCTCGATATCACACCAAAGCACTCAATATTTCGTTAAAGTTGTAAAGACAGCTTTGTTCATTTTTTCGGCGCCGCAGGCGAAAATTTTGAGAATTTTGTATGTCAAGATGCCAAATTTCTTCCATTTTCTGCGCCGCAGGTTAAATTTTTCTTACTTTCATGTCTCCCCTCTTCTGTTAACTTTAATTCACAGACTTCTAGTCAATTTATAAAGTCGGGATTTGCATCGGGATCTGATGCACATCCCGATCCCGATCCCGGATCCCGGCTCGGGATTGAGATTGGCCGGGATCGGGATCGGGATATTTATTTCGGGACCGGGATCAGAAAAATCGGGATCGGGATTTGAAAAACCCGGGATAATCCCGCCCGATCCCGACCGGGATCCCGATCCCGCTGAACTCTAATTCTAATTATGATACTCCTACTTTCTAAAAATTTTTTGACAATGCTTATAAAAAAGTTATATTTTTTATTAGACCGAAAATTTGAAGCCACAAAATTGTTATAATAAAATACAATTTAAGGTGAAATGGTGTCCGTATATGGTTGTGGAGAATGTCCCAAAGGTGTTCACAAAATAGGTTATTTAGTAGATTACCGTGATGATAAAGACAACCTTGAACAACGCAAGATAGCAGACTTTAATAAAATGCAGTGTGCTCACTGCAATCATGGTCCTGCTTGCAATTCTTTTACATTTTTGGAAGAGCGATTGTTCTGCTTGGAGAAGGCTGCTAGAAAATGGACACCAGAAAAGGGAGTGAAATGGTGTGCGATTGGAGAATGCTTTGTTGGTGTTGATAGCAGTGAAATGGGTAATATTTAAAAATTTTTGAATAAAAATGTCGATATGTATCTAAATGATAAGCAGCAGGGGTGTGTCGAAACTGAGTTTAAAAAATGCCGGAAAAGCAAAACTCTGCTTTTAGTAACATAATATTCAGATTAAATTAACCGATTCCACGAAAACTCTCAGAATTTTTGTAACCTGGAAGCAATGCTCACTATTTATGAGAAAATCTATTTGGAATTTCTCATGATAATTTTCTCATAAATATATGTTTCATTATCTTGTTCAGACCAAATTTCCAAAAAAACTTCATAAGCTAGGATAGTGATTGTAAAACTCAAATACATACGATATACAATTAAGTTATTAAGAAAATTTAACAAATAACATTATTTAAGCAATAGTACAGGGCTGTGGTAGATGCTCTGATCAACCAAATTTGAACAAATGCGAAAATTGCAAGCAAAGATACTGTAACGACAAAAGAAGGCTTAAAACTATAAGATGCCACCATCTTAGTCCAAATTTACATCCATATTTGAAACGAGTGAAGACTTGCCATCCAGTCATATCAAGTTGTTACATTGCTAGAGATATATTTGGAAGGGGTGATAGTTTTATTTAAATTGTACTTGAGAAAAAAATGAGCAATGAACCTTACTCACAGGGTTACCTTCATGTCTTATCAGTAAAAGTATGTAAGATATCATAGCATTTGACAATTCGATTGAAAAACCTAGGCAACTAGTTAGAGATTGACTCAGATGTATTTTTTAGTCTATCCCTAAGTTGATGAATTATTCCAAAGCATTAACAACATTAACAGGCTGTTATGCTCTGGATTTGGAACTTATACGGATAACCCCATACAACTCATTCCAATTAATTTTAGTTAGTGAAAAGATACTAAGCACTAGATAAAGTAAAACTTCAAGGTAGAAAAAAGCAGCGTTAGGTTAGGCGACGTATAAAAAGTTCAATTTACATAACTCTTTTATACATCTTATGATTTTTTAAGTAAATTTAATTTAAGTTGAACAAAACTGTGGAGAATGCCCTCCAAAATACAAAAACTGTGTTACATGTAATAATAATAATTTGTGCAATATTAAAACATTGTTGCCTACAATGACGACAATTACTATTTGAACAAATAGAGAAAAATGGAAAAAAATATAAACTTATTTAAATTGTATAGAAAAATTGTCTCAATAAAATTTTTACAATAAAAAGATTAATAATATATCCGAAATAATAAATTTTGTAATACATTATTTATAACTAATGAGCTATAATAGAATATATTTGTCTAAATAAAACTCGAACTGCAGAAGATATCAGACATTATTTATAAATAAAGAGCTATAATAGAATATATTTGTCTAAATAAATCTCGAACTGGCAGAAGATATCAGACATTATTTATAAATAAAGAGCTATAATAGAATATATTTGTCTAAATAAATCTCGAACTGGCAGAAGATATCAGACATTATTTATAAATAAAGAGCTATAATAGAATATATTTGTCTAAATAAAACTCGAACTGCAGAAGATATCAGAAATTATTTATAACTAATAGGCTATAATAGAATATATTTGTCTAAATAAATCTCGAACTGGCAGAAGATATCAGACATTATTTATAAATAAAGAGCTATAATAGAATATATTTGTCTAAATAAATCTCGAACTGGCAGAAGATATCAGACATTATTTATAAATAAAGAGCTATAATAGAATATATTTGTCTAAATAAATCTCGAACTGGCAGAAGATATCAGACATTATTTATAAATAAAGAGCTATAATAGAATATATTTGTCTAAATAAATCTCGAACTGGCAGAAGATATCAGACATTATTTATAAATAAAGAGCTATAATAGAATATATTTGTCTAAATAAATCTCGAACTGGCAGAAGATATCAGACATTATTTATAAATAAAGAGCTATAATAGAATATATTTGTCTAAATAAATCTCGAACTGGCAGAAGATATCAGAAATTATTTATAAATAAAGAGCTATAATAGAATATATTTGTATCACGAACTGGCATAAGATATCAGACATTATTTATAAATAAAAAGCTATAATAGAATATATTTGTCTAAATAAATCTCGAACTGCAGAAGATATCAGACATTATTTATAAATAAAGAGCTATAATAGAATATATTTGTCTAAATAAATCTCGAACTGACATAAGATAACAGACATTATTTATAACTAATGAGCTATAATAGAATATATTTGTCTAAATAAAACTTGAACTGACATAAGATAACAGACATTATTTATAACTAATGAGCTATAATAGAATATATTTGTCTAAATAAATCTCGAAATAAAAAGATAACAGACATTATTTATAACTAATGAGCTATAATAGAATATATTTGTCTAAATAAAACTTGAACTGACATAAGATAACAGACATTATTTATAACTAATGAGCTATAATAGAATATATTTGTCTAAATAAAACTCGAACTGGCAGAAGATATCAGACATTATTTATAAATAAAGAGCTATAATAGAATATATTTGTCTAAATAAATCTCGAACTGGCAGAAGATATCAGACATTATTTATAAATAAAGAGCTATAATAGAATATATTTGTCTAAATAAAACTCGAACTGCAGAAGATATCAGAAATTATTTATAACTAATAGGCTATAATAGAATATATTTGTCTAAATAAATCTCGAACTGGCAGAAGATATCAGACATTATTTATAAATAAAGAGCTATAATAGAATATATTTGTCTAAATAAATCTCGAACTGGCAGAAATTATCAGACATTATTTATAAATAAAGAGCTATAATAGAATATATTTGTCTAAATAAATCTCGAACTGGCAGAAGATATCAGACATTATTTATAAATAAAGAGCTATAATAGAATATATTTGTCTAAATAAATCTCGAACTGGCAGAAGATATCAGACATTATTTATAAATAAAGAGCTATAATAGAATATATTTGTCTAAATAAATCTCGAACTGGCAGAAGATATCAGACATTATTTATAAATAAAGAGCTATAATAGAATATATTTGTATCACGAACTGGCATAAGATATCAGACATTATTTATAAATAAAGAGCTATAATAGAATATATTTGTCTAAATAAATCTCGAACTGCAGAAGATATCAGACATTATTTATAAATAAAGAGCTATAATAGAATATATTTGTCTAAATAAATCTCGAACTGACATAAGATAACAGACATTATTTATAACTAATGAGCTATAATAGAATATATTTGTCTAAATAAAACTTGAACTGACATAAGATAACAGACATTATTTATAACTAATGAGCTATAATAGAATATATTTGTCTAAATAAATCTCGAAATAAAAAGATAACAGACATTATTTATAACTAATGAGCTATAATAGAATATATTTGTCTAAATAAAACTTGAACTGACATAAGATAACAGACATTATTTATAACTAATGAGCTATAATAGAATATATTTGTCTAAATAAAACTCGAACTGGCAGAAGATATTAGAAATTATTTATAACTAATGAGCTATAATAGAATATATTTGTCTAAATAAAACTTGAACTGACATAAGATAACAGACATTATTTATAACTAATAAGCTATAATAGAATATATTTGTCTAAATAAATCTCGAAATAAAAAGATATCTGACATTATTTATAACTAATGAGCTATAATAGAATATATTTGTCTAAATAAATCTCGAAATGAAAAGATATTAGACATTATTTATAACTAATGTGCTATAATAGAATATATTTGTCTAAATAAATCTCGAACTGCAGAAGATATCAGACATTATTTATAAATAAAGAGCTATAATAGAATATATTTGTCTAAATAAATCTCGAACTGACATAAGATAACAGACATTATTTATAACTAATGAGCTATAATAGAATATATTTGTCTAAATAAAACTTGAACTGACATAAGATAACAGACATTATTTATAACTAATGAGCTATAATAGAATATATTTGTCTAAATAAATCTCGAAATAAAAAGATAACAGACATTATTTATAACTAATGAGCTATAATAGAATATATTTGTCTAAATAAAACTTGAACTGACATAAGATAACAGACATTATTTATAACTAATGAGCTATAATAGAATATATTTGTCTAAATAAATCTCGAACTGGCAGAAGATATCAGACATTATTTATAAATAAAGAGCTATAATAGAATATATTTGTCTAAATAAATCTCGAACTGGCAGAAGATATCAGACATTATTTATAAATAAAGAGCTATAATAGAATATATTTGTCTAAATAAATCTCGAACTGGCAGAAGATATCAGACATTATTTATAAATAAAGAGCTATAATAGAATATATTTGTCTAAATAAATCTCGAACTGGCAGAAGATATCAGACATTATTTATAAATAAAGAGCTATAATAGAATATATTTGTCTAAATAAATCTCGAACTGGCAGAAGATATCAGACATTATTTATAAATAAAGAGCTATAATAGAATATATTTGTCTAAATAAATCTCGAACTGGCAGAAGATATCAGACATTATTTATAAATAAAGAGCTATAATAGAATATATTTGTATCACGAACTGGCATAAGATATCAGACATTATTTATAAATAAAGAGCTATAATAGAATATATTTGTCTAAATAAATCTCGAACTGCAGAAGATATCAGACATTATTTATAAATAAAGAGCTATAATAGAATATATTTGTCTAAATAAATCTCGAACTGACATAAGATAACAGACATTATTTATAACTAATGAGCTATAATAGAATATATTTGTCTAAATAAAACTCGAACTGGCAGAAGATATCAGACATTATTTATAAATAAAGAGCTATAATAGAATATATTTGTCTAAATAAATCTCGAACTGGCAGAAGATATCAGACATTATTTATAAATAAAGAGCTATAATAGAATATATTTGTCTAAATAAAACTCGAACTGCAGAAGATATCAGAAATTATTTATAACTAATAGGCTATAATAGAATATATTTGTCTAAATAAATCTCGAACTGGCAGAAGATATCAGACATTATTTATAAATAAAGAGCTATAATAGAATATATTTGTCTAAATAAATCTCGAACTGGCAGAAATTATCAGACATTATTTATAAATAAAGAGCTATATTAGAATATATTTGTCTAAATAAATCTCGAACTGGCAGAAGATATCAGACATTATTTATAAATAAAGAGCTATAATAGAATATATTTGTCTAAATAAATCTCGAACTGGCAGAAGATATCAGACATTATTTATAAATAAAGAGCTATAATAGAATATATTTGTCTAAATAAATCTCGAACTGGCAGAAGATATCAGACATTATTTATAAATAAAGAGCTATAATAGAATATATTTGTATCACGAACTGGCATAAGATATCAGACATTATTTATAAATAAAGAGCTATAATAGAATATATTTGTCTAAATAAATCTCGAACTGCAGAAGATATCAGACATTATTTATAAATAAAGAGCTATAATAGAATATATTTGTCTGAATAAATCTCGAACTGACATAAGATAACAGACATTATTTATAACTAATGAGCTATAATAGAATATATTTGTC